TACTTGTATAAAATTTAATTCTACAGAATGCAACATGATGGAAAAGTAATTTACAAATTCAAAAAATACTCTAAAGAAGTATCTAAATTTGCCTCATCTGGATTTTTATATGTTACAGGATCTCGTAGAAAATTTAAAAAATAATTAATAATTTCTGATCTAGATATAAGGAATCCAGGATTTAAACTAAATTTTTTTGACATACAAATTTTATTATAAGATTAGCGTTAAATTCGTAAGCATAAATTTTACATTAATAAATATTCTAGTGACTTAAATAGCCACTGGTTCTAATAATAATGCAGCTTGAATATATAATTTATCAAAGAATTCATTTGTAGAATAATTAACAGATTTTTCATGATAAGTATTTGCTGTGCTTTTAATTAAACTGGTGATAAAATTATTGTTGTTAACAATTATAAAACTTTTTCAATTTTTTAATTCTATCCAATATGATAGAGAATAATATCAGATATTGCTAATAAGAGATAAAAGATGAAGAGAATGGATGTATCAATAAAACATGAAACATTTTCTAACTATGCCTAAAATAAATGATAGTTAAGCAAAGGTTTTAAGAAAAACAAAATAATTAAAAATTGAATTTCAATGAATTTTAGTGATAATTATTTTCTATATATTTTTAAATACTCCTACATACAATCTCTTAATTAGATTTAATTAATTAATTAACGAATGTATTAATATGTAGAAGGTGCTAAATTTATCCAACATCTCTAGAGTTTAGATTGGAAGATAGGCTATGATTATATAATAATAGGAGAATAATTGGCTTAAGAATTATTGACTTCAAATAACATTAAAAGTGTTAGTATTAATGGAAATGAAATTGTAAAAGGTCCTCTATTTCCAGTCATTTATGAGGAAGCTCAATTGAATGATTCAATCATCTAATTACTCATTTTAAATGGGTAAATTTGCATTTATGGCCCTTCTTTAAATTTCTAGGTTATAGACTATTAATTTTAATACATTTAGAATGAATCATTTCTAAATCGATATAATTTGTCTTCTGGAACAATAAGCTTTGATGATCGATAAAGAATTATACTTAATTCTGAATAATTAGTCACTGGAATGTGGAGTTGTACTTCTATATTTAATTTACCTTAAAATTAACAGTTTATTAACTGTCTACTTAAATTTATAAATTAAATCACTCAAAAAGACAATAAGAGAATCAAATTTACAAAATAAGATTCATTTATTCTAGTTATCTTTGATGTTTCGGCAACTTGTATATTAGTCTCTTTAGGAGATCCAATGCAAAAATTAATTTATAAACCAAAAGTTTATAAATTATGGGAGAATTTCTTAAATAAGAATTCTTTTTCATCTGATCTTCAATTTTCGATAAATGAATATGATCAATTAGAGAGTTAAATATCAATTTTACAAAAAGAATATTCTAGCATGTTAAAATTTTTATCAGAGCCATCTACTTAATTAATTGACAGTGTTCCTAATAAAACAAGTCTTTTAATTTTATCTAAGTCAAATCATTAAACAAATAATCATAATTCAATGGCAAGCCATCAATTTTAAGGCTTGCTTTAGGTAAGCAGCTAAAAATTATTTACTGGAAGATCACACTTAGATACCAAACGTGGGTATCATTTATCTGTAGGACAACTTTCAGAAAATTCATTTCTTTAAGATGCTCCTTTAATCAATTAAATTAATTAATGATTTATTATTTCTATTTTTAGTTAATCAATTTATTATTAAATAATTAT